TACTCTGCCTGGGGACTGTCTCTTCAGACTTGGTCTCTTAGGATCATCCACAGATACCTATACTGTAGATAGGTCTTAGTCATCAGGTCTACTCCACTTCCTTGTTGCCTGCTTAGACTCTTGGCACTCTTAGGTGAGCAGACTTAGTCAGCCTGTGTTGCCCTAACAAGAACAGACTCTTTACAGGACTTGTGGAATCCAATTTGATACCTTGTACTTGACAAGATTTCTATGGTGGGTGCCAGTCTCCTTAGTAAAGTTTGCCACAAACTTGTACAGGCCTGTGGTGGATGAAATTTTACTGGTTGGCAACTACCTTTTGGCAGTCTGAATGTGATCTTTACTGGCGATTTTGGTTGACTGCAGCCAGTCTGTGCTAGGCCATTATTTGACTATCAACTTGTACAGAAAACTCCTCAAAATATCACCAAAGCTGTTACTGGCCAGACAGACTTGTACAGTGCTTGTCTTTGGAGACAAGTCAATACTGTGGTCATGTTATGCAAAAATGTTCATCAGTATGGAGACTTACAGTTTTGTAACTTACTGTATTATGTCCGGCTCAGTATCATGTGGGATGGATGTAACAATCTTACAGCACTACAATGTGGTATTCCAGATTATGGAAATTATAGTGTGTCAGATTATGAAACTTTACATTCCTGTACCATTTTGGCTTTACTGGCAAAGGCAGATGGATTGGACATAGTCCGTTCATTCTGTGATGCACCTCTGATAGTCACTAGGTGGGCTGTTTGCAATAGACTCAACATTTACAAAGTAATGGCATTTGCTGCCTCTTCTAGCCAGGAGGTCTACTGGTATCATGCAAAAGACTTTCTGAATGGTGGAATACTAGAAGGGGAAGTCCAGCCTTGATTATGGCATTTGAATTCTACTGTAACTGGTGACTTCCTTGGTTCTCTACCCTTAGTAATTGGCATGAAAGTCATGATCATAGAGAATATTGCATTACAATACAAGGCTGTTAATGGTGCTGAAGGGACATTGACCAATATTAAATATGATATTACTGATGGTATCAGATACCCTGTCATGGTAATGGTACACTTACCTGATTCAGGCATGTCAGGTTTTGGTCTGCCAATTGACATCATTCCTGTCCTTCTGGTAAAAAGCACTTTTACATATAAGTCCAAAACAGGCTCTGCCAGTCTTTCTATTACTGATTTGCAGTTACCTATTTTTCCTTGTTACAGTTTTTTACTGATTATAAATCACAAGGATGGACTTATCTCATGCAGTAATAGATCTTGCAAGTTGTGGTTCATTACAGAGCCTATATGTTATGATATCATGTGTAAGATCTCTGGATGGTCTATTATTATTATGGGACTTTTGTGAACATTTTGTATTCAAATCTGTCCAGCGATTTGCAATTAGAATTAGACAGGTTGGAATCATTAGATACAAAGTCCATAACAGCTTATGCTTGTGTTCATTCATAGACATTAAATAATGGTACAGGAACATTTAGGGGCTGTGTGTATCCCTGTTGTCAGTCTTGGATCCGTCTGTTCTCATACCATATCATCTTGCTCTCTCTGTCATGCCTCCTCATATGTAACTTGTGTTACTGATTGTTATGCTGTCTGATCTTTTCATAGCTCAGGCTCTTCAGCGTCTTGCTGTTAATGACCATGGAACCATCATACATATCACCAGTTATGCAAACTTTAACATCTGTTGGGCTCATCAGTCATCATATTACCAGTCACCTCTGCACCAGATTCTTCAATACAACCCTTCTTATTGGATTTGACTATCTTTTACTTCAACAATATGAACAAGGACAGTTCTCACCAGTGCTGGTACTGGAACATGACCACTAGAGAATGGATCCTTGGGACAGAAGAAAGCCTGTGTCCTTGCAATTTGAACCTATACTTGTCTCCTTATAACACTCCAATGTGGGTATCTTGAAATGGAATTTGGAGATGTAGATGAGTACATGATGTTAATAGCAAGGCAGGTCTTGTATTTACTTGTCCAAAACTGTACATTACGCTTATGTCCTCTGTTATTTACAGTACCAATTACACAAATGTTTGTCCTGCTTGCCAATTCTCATCATAGACAGTGTTCCATCAGGAAGTCCAGTATGTCTATTTGATATTGGCATTACTTATCAATTCATTGAAACATTTGCAGGATATGTCTGTTCATGACAGTCCTGTAACAGATCCCATTAATCATGCCTTGTACAGCATATGTATTTACTTTACCTGAACTTTTGTGTCATGACTATTGACTAGATCACTCCTTTTCCTTTGTCTACCAATCCTATTCCTCTTGCTGATAACACAGGTCTTATATCTGATTACTGTTTAGTCTGTGTCTCTCATCTACAATGTCTGGATGTTAGGAAGTTCCTCTGACCTTAATCAGACAGATTTTTGATCCTACCATTGCCGTGTCCTGCCATGTTCTCATACTGTCAATCAGTATCAGATGTAATCCTCATGTATTTGACTATTGAGTTCACTATGAAACATGTCTATGTTCTACAATCAGTCAGTTTCAAAGACTACAGTAGTCAATCCTGTATCACCCTCATATTCTTCTTCTGCCCTATCTTTTTCTGGGTCAGTCACCCTTCTGTACTGGGATCCCTACATAGTAATTAGTCCATCTTGGTTTGTACAGTTATACATCTTACTCACTGGATGCAACTCCTTCCAACCCCCAAGTCTTATGATGTGTTGCAGTACAAGATTCATGACAGGTCCTTTATCAAGTTGCAGTAACTCAATTGTAAAGGCAATGTCTATGAAGTCACCAGCCATGAATGCCACATTTGATGCTGGCTGTATGGGACTGTTACTGGTCCATGTCCCCAATGTCACCAAATTACCTGGCATCCACTTGTCTCTCAATCTTCCTGCAAGCCCTTGTGGATCATCTCTTGCCAATAATGACCATCTCTTTCCAATATGATTCTAGTCTGTTTCAGAAAACAGTTCTGTCTTTTTATATGTTATTACTCCGACTGACCTTGAAGAAGACCTGACAGTGAAATGACAAACTGGTGCCAGACCAGTCCTCAAATGGTCCAATCCTCTGTGTGTTACCAGTCATGGAATACACAAATGACCATACTATGTTGAGATTTTGGATTGTCACTTTCCATGCTTCATCATGTCCATTACCAGTAATAGACGCAAATTGCATGGCACAGCATGCATCCTTTTCATTCCTGTTTCACAATTAGCTTCATGAACAGTCTATATGGCTCATGACTATCTTACCCATTCCAATTCCCCAACTGTCCCAATCTACCTGTCTTGTAATGCCCTTGCATTCAGAAATGTGCAACACTGTTCTGGGAACCTGTTGCAGGGATATGTTTCCACATGACCTGCCATGCTTGACCATATCTACGTCTTCTCATTTGTTTTGACAGGATGTCAAACATTTCATCCAGTTCAGCATTGTTGTTTGGTACTTTGATTATAGTGCTGTCCATTGCTAAAACAGCTTCTTCATGACCCCACATGTCCCAAACAAGATCAGTTCCTTCTGTAAGCACTGGTCAGTTCTGAATATCTAATCATCATATAAAAGGAATGGTTACCTTCAAAGAAACCCATGTTGTTTTTGGTGAGCAATACTGGTTCAGGCAGTTATGGTATTTCAGATTGTATAATATGCAATGTTGCTCATAAATTGGCCATTTTATTACCTTTTTACAGCTGTGTTTGCCAGTCTTGTTCACATTTACATGATTACCTTTTTTGTACTTTTCTCCTTCCACCCTGTAACTGTATATTATGATGACCCTGACATGTGAATGGTTACATAGTGTTCATTTGATGTTTGTTTGGCTCAGTCTGCTTCTGTAAGATCCAGGCTGGTCAATGTATGGAACATTTGATGCTCATTTTGCTCAGTTTCCTTCTGCATCCTCCCGTTTGGTTCATGGGAAAAAAAAACATCACAGAACATTCCATGGATGTTCTGTCACATTTCAGATTGCTGAAAAATGTCTTGCAGATGTTCTTTACTCTTCTCTCCGTGTTTCCCCTGTATACCATATTCATTCATGCTAATTTACAGATCTTGATTGGTTTGTCTGTCTTCCTATCCATCTTGCCTCATTATTGATGGTTGCATCTTGTCAGTACCCTGTAACATCTCCAATTGGACACCTGTATCCATTCTGCAATTCTGACAGGTTCCTGTCATATTGTTCAATTATTTAACCCCTTGGGATCTGCAATCATATCAGTATATTACAGCCATTACTGTCATTTTTTCCTGCTTCTTAATGCCAGTCAATCAAGGTATGCATCTGTTTCATACATTTCCCTTCTTCCCAGTTTGCAGCTTTAGTCATCTATGCTTACCTGTATGGTTCCTGTTGCTAGCATCTTAACTTGTATAAATACCTCTATACATCTATCTTACTCAATCCCAGTACAAGTTGGGTATGAAGCATAAATTGCCTCCTGTCTCTTTGCTATCCTCTAAGCCGACTCCACCCCATACTAGGCAAAACAGGTATATACTCAGTTTATCTTTCCCAGTTCATTGAAATGTCACTGACCTATATTGGATCTGTCATCCTCGGTAAGACCACGTACCATATCTCCAATGGAAGTGTCAAGTTTGTCCAATTCGGATCATGTCAATCCCGGTAATGTTCATTATTTGACTGTGGCATATAAGTTGTGTTTACAAATACTGTTCAGATCCAGAACTGACAATGGTCACTACTTGGTTGTCTGTTCAGTCCGCCCATCCTATTCAACAGGGAGGTTCTGCAAATATGCATACAGTTCCAGAACTTCCCGTAGGCATACTGGCACTCTCCCTGCAATCATTGGATACTAACAGTAAGTATTATAATGGTTTTGTTATATTTGGGTATATATGCTGATACTATACAAAGGTTCTCTTAATCTGTCTTCCAATCTTACTTGATGTGCATTGGATGCTACCAAACAGCAGGTTGTGGCTGCATCCTCTCCATCTCAGTTTGTACCTTATTCTGTTTTGGTACTATTACTTAATGGATCCATCTATCTAGGTCTGTATCTGTATTTGATGTGTCAGGTCAGGTTACTGGCCCATTCATATGGGTATCTTGTATCTTACTTGTTATTATATCTGACTTGATTTGTAGTACAGAGAAGAACCTGAACATACTTGCTGGGGATATTTGGATGTTTTGGATAAGTCAGTTTCAGCTCAATGTATCTTGGTCATATAGCCATTCATCTCATTTATATTATACAGTCGGATCAGCACTCTTTTACATTATCAAGATGCTGGGACTGCAACCCATGCAATCTCTCACTTGCCTGTCAGTATGTATTGGTCAATGAAATCAAGTGGTACCAATTATACGGAGTATTTATTTGATCAAGCAAAGTGTTTACCATATACTACTTGGATAGTTGGTCATGTCACTGGTCTATTCCTTTTTACTTCAACTGGTCAGCTGGAGCATCAGGCTAATGTCATACTCTGTTCTATTTGTGATTCTGACTTGATGTCCACAAAGGCCTTATTAAAGCATCATACATCTGATAAATATCAGTCTTGTTTCTGTAATTTAATGCTTCTTCATGCAGTCTACATACCTGGAGGTGCTTTGGGTACTTTAAAGGCCAGGAACTGGATGACCAAGTGTGTTCCTGGTGAAGCTGTGGAAACAGTATGTCATTCTGAATATCCTGTTGAATTTGTTCTGATCTATAATCAGGTTTTGCCTTTTACAGCCATCTATGATGCAACCATCTTGTTTCAGTCCAAGGCTAAAATGACCAACTAGCACCTCAAAATCTGAAATGGAATGGCTTGGTACTTGCCAAAGTCTATATCAGTTGTTTCCAAGATCATGTCATTACCAATGACTTTTCCTCTCCAACTCAGTCAGCTGGTTGGTCTACTTGCAGTTCGCTGACAAAGTCTGAACCAAAATGGAGAGCAACCTTCATCTTAAAATACATCAATGTCCTCTTTTCTGCCCAGGTTAAAGACAACTCTGAATCAGTAGATGAAATGGGACAGTCAGACAACTATTTAAAGGTCATGCTGTTGCTGAACCCACATATATGCCATTTGGTTATGTGTTATACACCCCTGTCATGTATTTGGAACAGGTATATTCTCATAAGTACATATACTGAAATTGGCATATCTGTTATTGTCTGAATATCACGGTCCGATCGACCTACATTTACACCGTAACCTGCATCTCATCAAATATATAGGCATTCACCAACAACATGTGGTGCAATGCCTCCCATGGGCAAGTATCATCATCACCCACTCCAAACTCTTCTTTTGCATGATCCATGTTGCTTTCAGTACAGTTACGGACCCAGCTATTGACACTTTCCACATCAGATGTGGCTTCACTTGAGATACTGTCATCAGACTGAGATGCCATCAACATGTCCCTGTCAATGTTTCCTGTCTTGACTGTGTTTGGCTCATTTGTGTCATCCTGCTGATTACTATTGTCAGTACACCATCTGGTACTGTACTTGTCATGACTGATGGTTCCTTTAACTGACATGTAAACTTCTGAGTATGTATCAGCTTCTGTACATGATCAGTAGTGGTATTACTTACCAGCATGTACTTCTTTGTCTGCTTCTTCTTCACTAAACAGCCTTTCTATCTTGATATCCAACATTGTCAACTTGATGTATGCCTTTCGATGTCCATAAAATAGGTGTTGTTTATATCCATGAATCACTGCTGCTCCAAACAAACCTGGGCCATGATCAGCTTATACTGTAATTCCGTATGGTCAGATCCCTGTACTGACCTGCTGGTAACACATTGTCCATTCCTGATTAGTACATTAATATCTTATTGATCTCTGGTATGTTACACTTCACATACTAGTTGTGATGATAGCTGTCAGGGCACCAGCTCATTGCTTGGTCAAGAGACATGACTAAGCCTTTATGACATGGAAGTAGCTGGTA